ACCACCCACCATAATCCCTGGTGTTGGGTTTTGATTCAATCCACTTTCTTCGTGGCTCGGTTGGCGTGTGTTTATGCATTTTGGTGTGTTCCAAAAAGTCCCCAAAAGTTTGATGCACTGCATCTTGCATCCACAGGAGTTATACTTAGAGCTTTTCTCTTCTTCTGGCCAATTTGTATTCTACTTGGATTTTGATTTCCTCAGGGAAAATGTGACATTATTTTATGGATTTTATATCATGTCGTTTACACTACAATTATGCAACCTAACACGGCTACTCTAACACCTCGACGGGGACTGTGTTGGGCCAGTCATAGGATGTACTTTATAGCGCCTCGTGATCCCTGTCAATCTGAATGTAGGGTCCTGGTATCCCTATCGTACTATAAAAAGCAGAGTTCAGGGTCTCGCTTTCGGTTTCGCACCTGTGGAAATAAAAGAAATAGCCAATAGTGTTTATCATAAAAATATTACACTAAAAAGTACTAGGGATAAGTACAAAAGTACCCCGATATTCATTGCCACGAAAAAAGAGTCCATTGCTGTTCTCAGGAATATTTTTCCTGTAGCCATTCAAGAGCTAATGAGATGTATCTCTTTTTTTTGGCGGAATTACAGTTCAGTGAATCCGCGCAAAAGCAAAGATACTATGGAGTAGATAGGAACAAATAGGAACAAATAGAGTCAAAATAGAGAGACTAAGGGTTCCCAGGGAGGTGGGACAACTCTATTACTTCTCCACCCGCGACGGGCCTTCTGGGAGATTTGCATTTACAAAAGTACTGTTTAGGGCTTCTCTAGGGTTGGGTATGGGATGTACTGACTGTGTACTCGTACTCTTCTTTTATTGCAAAGATGGATATAATTCGCATTATCTTCAACAATGAAAACAGATCGAATTATGTGAAAATGAATGCAGATCTCCTCCTTCGGTGGACTTAGGTGTAGATGCTCTATCGAACAATTAGCAACCACGCAATCATAGGAATAAGAACAACCAATCAAACCTACCTCTGTAATCTGATTGACAGCCAACCCAGGCTCTGCCATTTCAGCGTCGCGCAGGAACTCCAACGGCAACCAAACAAGATGGCCCTTGATGAGATCCAGCTTCTCCCGCACGTCCTTGGCCGGCATATACGGATCGAACAGATGTCCCTCCTTGTGCGTGCCCCGAGGCCGGAAATTGTCGTAGTCCTCGAAAGTCTTGATATGATCATCAGGGTCCGCCCGGAACAACATCCGATACGCCTCGGTGTTGCCGGTCGCTTGCGACGTCCAGGTGTTCCAGACCGCATCGCCGAGCGGATCCATCACGAACTCGTTCTCCGGCCCCTCATCGATTCGGTTGAGCGACACATCGGGGGGTTGCGCGTTCGGGTCGCCTGAGGCGTCGAATTCTTGCGCCGGCAGTAGGCCTAGGTGCTCGCGCCACAATTGTCGTCGGAGCGTGGCGGCCAATCGGGAGGCCTGGTATGGCTGTCCGTTCATGCGGCTGTCGATGAGATCTTGGTCTTCCATTACGATGGCCAGTTCGCTGTCGTGCGAGCCAAGCTGGGACTGTGGGGAGTGGATATTAGCTGATGATACAGACCGGGAAATAAAAGGGAATGGAATGCGTCAGATGTGACGGGGATGCGGTGTTTGTGTAACTTACCCGGTCGTTGATGTTGGCGCTGCCGCAGATGATCGTACGATCGTCGACGATACACACTTTTCCGTGCACGTACAGCTCCTCCTGGACGAAGTTCGCCTTTTCGGCTTCTGGGTCGCCCTCCCAGACCTCGTTGGACATCTTACCCCCGTTCAACATGCTGCAATGCGATACTGAATCCTTGCTGTGGAATCCACCGTCGATTTTTCCCTCGGCCTTTCTCTTCTCGACCGTATCTTGGAAATTCTGGAGCTTGCGCAGTGTTTCTTTCTTGGCATTTTGGTCGGCTGCGTAGTCCTTCTCGTTCTTGTCGCCGTCTTTGCCCACCGCTGGGTGTACACTCTCACTCATGATGGTCTCTGCGATACCGCGCTGGATATCCTGGTATGTGACACCGGCTTGCTTCTCGAGATCCTCGAGATCGGGCGTTTTGTTGATTCGATCATAAGCGCGCAGGGCGAACACGAAGACGTGTTCTAAATGAGCTAGTTAGACATGCAACCAGAACCGAACCGAACAGAACACTTACCTCTTGGGTCAATACCCTCTTTCTCGATCTGCCCAAAGATCGAGTGCTCGCCACGACAAATCGACTTGTACTGGTAGTCCATGATCGCCCGAGTACCCAACGCAGCATTGTCACGCAAATCACCAGCGAATCCAGGAATCGCGGGGATGACAATGATCACCCGGAACTTGCGACCCTCTTTGCCTGCGCGCACGCAAGCCTCGACGATCGCACGGCCGATCGTGTTGAAAATCGGACGCTGTTGGTCGCCAGTGGCAGTGACTATGAAGGTTAGCAAAGTACACCGCTAGAAGAGAATGCGGACATACTGAAGAACTGGTTCTCGATATACACATAGTGCTGGGCATTGCGGATGGTCTCGCAGTACGCGTTTTGGATACTGTGCTCGTTCAGAATACCGCTGCTCCAGTCGTCACTGCTGCGCACGATTTGAGCGCGCACAGTGCCCACGTTACCACGAGGCTTGGACGACAGGGGCGTCAGCGGGTGTTGGATGTATTGTCCGCAGGGGTACTTGGGTCGCTGCACGGCGATGATATCTTCTTCTTCGCCTACGAGACCTTCCATGAGTAGCCAATCGACATCGTGGCTGCGCTTGTATTTGTCGCGCTTGATGAAGTTCCAACGCAGAACAAAGTGTTCGGCAATGTCGTACACACAGTCGCCCTGCAAGCCCATGGCCACGTCGTGCCAGGGCATGCGACCAAAGTCGGCTTTGCTGACTTCGTTGCTCTGCCAGTCTTCTACGCTCTGGAAGTCCATGATCCGGTTGTTGTTGAAGTCCTGTCCTGGGAAAATGTCGCCCCACAAACCTGTTGGGTGGACATCGGCCAATGGGTGCTGGTTTGCGTCCCATCGTCCGAAGCATAGATCAATGCCTCCGATAAAGGCCACATTGTAATCAATGACAAGGAATTTCTCGTGGTGCGCCTTGATTATTGTTAATTATGTCCCAGTCGGTACTCCGTAGAGGTGATGCACATACCCAGTAAAGAGTCATATCAGCTGCGTTCTCGAAGACATTGTGGTCGGGGTGGCGCATAACTCGGATATTGCCGTAGCCAGGAGCTCCCTCGGGGCAGAGGCTCCGCAAGGCATGTTTAGTGTGTGCGGAATTACAAGTCAGGGCTTGGTTGACCTATAGACAATTAGGATAGTTCTTTTTCTTGATTGGAGGAAAATGCCAACCTCTTTGTAGACAATGATATAAATCTTGACACCTGCTTCGGCGCGTCGCTTCAAGATGTGATCCAATCGCCATTCCTGGTGCTCGACAGGGGGACGGCGCAAGAAGAGTTCCGGAGAGAGCCACCAGTCGGCGATGTAGATAGTCTCAGTGGCTTTCTCCAGAGCCTCGGAGACTGCCCACATGTAATCCTTACCATCGACATACCACTTGATGCGATTCCCGTCGTGGACGGGTGCAAAAGACTGGAAGCGGTGTGACTCTGCGATCTCAGAGCGCTTGCGATCTGTCGCTTGTTCGTGCTCCTCGTCATGACGATGGTTCGGGTTTATGATATTAAAAAACTTGCCGACTTTGGCCTTAAAATGTGTAGCCTCGGCTTTGACCTCGTGGATATGGGTGTCTTAAGACAATTAGGTCAGTTTTTCTTATTTTATAAAATGACAATCTGCCGACCTTTGAGTGACCCCTCCAGATGATCAATTCCCTGTCCCAACTTGTCCTTGAATCTTTGCATCATTGAGGCCTTTAGTGGAGAAAATGGTTGGAAGAGGGGGAGGGGGGAAGATCTGGAGATAATACTGGTTCCTTAATTCGTGACATCACAGCCCTACTGGGTAAACATGCATCGATCTGATTTGTCTCCCTACCAATGCCAAGGGAAATACAGCAACGCCGATCGAAATCCTCCACCTTGTGCTATTCTTGTTATTGCCTATTTAGGGTTGGGCCGCGTGGTGGTGTTTCCGCGGTTCCTAATATCGGACCACTCGCTTCTTTCTTGGCAAAGTGTGGCCTTAGAAATTGGTTGAATTAATTATGTACAACATATAACAGGAACACAAAGATTAACTACAAACAGCAGAGATCTCTGACTAGTTAGTTATAGAGTCGATCGTGGAGAATGTTTAGCGGTGTATTTGGTGGAGATATATCCACGATACTACGTGGCAGCATCCATAAGAAAAAGAGAAACAAAGAAAGTGACTAGTGAATTCTGGAGATAATAAAAGATAATAAAAGATAATAAACAGGGAAATCCCCTGTTCTTCTCACTAGTTTAGGTACAGTCTGACAATGACAACCATTATTATGGCTATAAAAGTGAGAATAAAAAATGTAAATAAAATGTCACCTAAAGGCTGTGGGAGAGGATTTCGAAGACATCGCAGTTAAAGGCAATGCCTCTAATATCACCTCAAGCCAACTATATGATATTAACAAGTAATCCGTATAGTTAGTTACAGAAGCGTGCCCAGTACGGAGTAACTAAGTAGTTCGTTGATCCAGGTGTTGGAACCAATGACGTAATTGGATCTAAACTGGACCCTGGAGTTCCTATTCGCGCCATACACCTGGTTTGAGATTGTTTATTTGTATTGGAGGTGAGAGGAAGAAAGGCCCTACAGATGTTGTCCAAGCTATTATTGTTTTGGTCTTCTAGGCTCTATATAAGTCATTGTTGACATGGTTCACGTGATATGAACCGACTTCGAGCTCAATTTCAAAATCGGCACATAACACTATAACTTGTGTACAAGCATGAATATATTTGTGATAGCATATTGCTTTGTTTCCAATAAGCCATAAGCCTATGTTAGAACGTGAATCATGCTCAGCTCATTGTCCAAATGTTGTTGTTTGGCGGGAATGCTGACCGCCACCACGTGACTGGATGGGAAAAACAACGTTGTCAGAGGAACGGGCCATTTTCTGTTTATCCTCTCTCGACTCACACAACGCGGCCAGCCTTTCAGAGCTCCAGGCTCGCGCTTAGTCGACATTTTTGGTTAATGTGCTAGCATCGTTTTGGATCGTATATTTTGTTTGCCGGGTGCGCCTGCCTATTTTTGGATTTATAGACGTTGCGAAACGAGACACACGACTAGCCATCGCCCTGGTTACCGGCTCCTCCACTTACTAACGCAAAGGAAGCAAGCAGATCATGATGCCGCCAGAATTAGGTAAGTGCAATGCAAGACTAAAAAAACTCTGCTGCAGGTCATTTGGTTCCCCATACTAACGTGTTTCCAAGCCCGAGCTCACTCGCAGGGCAGTGTGGTGTCCCAGACAACACAGATTGCCAACCAAAGCCGGCCAGGTACGGCAGACCCTGTGCGAGCACGCTCCGAGGCCCTCTCACGGGCTAGCCGTCGTCCTCGGTCTAGAGGATCAACAGCGAGTATCCACTCGAGTACCACCCAGCAAACCCAAGACCAGCACCTCGACGGGTTCCCGCAGTTCATGCCATCGCAAGTCGGATCAGGCCAGCATATGTTCAACAACCCGGAGGACATGCTAATACGGTTTGGGCACCAGCTTTCACATCATAACGGTGCACCCCTGGATCAATCGATGCAAGACACCCACGCCGGGATGTCTCGAGCCGAAGACTTTCCAAATCACTCGATGCAGGGCCACCCGCTTTCCCATCATCCTATACAGCCCGAACTTGCAAACGGCTTGCCCAATGTACCCGTTCCCCAATACCAGCCGATGTATGATAGTGGTGTCGAGAACCACCTGCCGGATCACATCGTCGAGGATCAAGAAATCTCGGAGCCAGGGGCTAAAAAAAAGAGGTGCGAGCTCGACAGTGGCTAACGACAACGAGCTGCGAAAGCTGCTTCGCCAGTATGAGGGATGGAGTCTCAAACAAATGGCGGCTGAAGTCATGAAGAATGAGGGTGGAGGGGGCAAGGCTGAGAAAGTGAAGCAGGTCTTCGCGATGATCTGGTAAGGCACATTGCCGCAAATGAACTGCAACCAATTGTCTAACAGTGTACACAGGCTGAGAGAAAATTGCCGGAAGAGCAGTGGCTCCGTACGTCGTGATCGGGTCTATTGCTGCTATGCAGAGAACTGTGGAACGGAACGCGTCTCAGTACTAAACCCTGCATCATTCGGAAAGTTGGTTCGCATCATCTTCCCCAATGTACAGACCCGGCGTCTCGGGGTCCGAGGCGAGTCCAAGTATCACTACGTCGATTTGTCGGTCATTGAGGAAAAGCAACAAAAGCTTGCGCCTCTTAACCCACAGATTGCCCATCATACAAACGGCCCTGCTTCTTTGCCTTCCAGGGCTGCCAGTGCGATGCGCTCGAGAAGGTGAGATATAACTGACATCAATCTTTATTTGCTCTCACTGACAAATGACTAGTGCTAGCGTACAACAACCGACTGCCGATACTGCCGTGTTCCCATCTCCCACAACTTCCTTCGCTCCTCGATTCCCGAACAATTCATCTTCTGCCGTCTGCAATTGCCAAGGTCACACGCCATCTGGGCCAGATGCCACAATCACCCGCGATAATGTAGCCCAGCAGGCTGGGAAAATGATACATCAGATGCTTCAGTTCCCGATGGATGAGAACACCGTGGTTGATAACGATACCCTTCAACTTCCCGATATCCGTGCATACTTACCTGCAAACACCGACCTGAAAGTTGCTGCAGCTCTTGCTGCCCTGTATCGCTCCCATTGCATTTCGGTCATCGACAGCTTTCGGTATTGCAAGGAGCGAAATCTTATGAAATATTTCTCCGCTTTCCATGGAACATTGACTGTTCCCGTTCAAAAGTTATTGACCCATCCTAACCTTGCTCCTTGGATCAAGGAATGCGATTGGATGATGTACCAGAAGATGATTGCGTTTGTGGCACCCCTAACAACCCAGGTGGTCCCTAAGCCAGTCCTAGACGCTTTTAACTCCATCTCACAACGGCTTTGCGGGCACATCGCTGAAACCTTTAAGACCCAACCGACCCATGTCTCCTTAGCACGCTTGATTCCCGCGCATATCTTCTGCAATCTCCTCAAGCATATGCTTGATGTGAACCAGGCTGCCAATGCCGCTGCTGCCTGGCTTTGCCACCCGGATAACCGAAACCAAATGTGGACGGACTTTAAGACTATGGTAAATCCTAGAGATATGATGACCAAGGCAAACATCCCAACGTGTGCTGAGCTAGCGACGGAGCAAATTCTCAAGCATGACGTTCGTGCGCTCTTGACTCCATTGAATGATGCCGACCCCTCGGCAAGCCTGCTTTTCTTCACGCAACCAGATAGCCCCGATTCAGTTGAGGCGCACAAGTTCCCTGTAGAAAGTGCTCCGGGAGACGAGTACAACTTCCCCGACAAATGGGTTCAGTTCATCCTCAACATCCCCGCTGCCTTTTCCAACCACCGCACACAGTGTGTCATTGAAAAGGTTGATGCCTTGTGGGATAGCGTGTTGCACCGGCTTACCCTGGCCGGAGCACCAAGTTTTAGCGCGTGGTGGATGACAAAAGTCTTCTTCCACGAGATGATGGTCTGGCAAGCAGAGAAGGGTGGGTTCATGTGCAACACTCCTGGATCACTGCAAAGTGCGACGTTTGGCCCTGAACCACTCGGCCATTTTCAGATGAAACAAGCGTCTGTTCCCGAGGCATCCCCTTTTGAGAACGATTCAAAACCTCACTCAAGTCCTCCTATGGCTCACAGTGGTCACCAAAGCCAGCCTCCCAGTCAGCACTCGGATTTCAAACACCCTCCCAGCGAGAAGCGACTCTCTCTTCAAGAGGGCTTCCAAGGACATAACAATGACGACAGCGCAATTGACCTTGAGGATGATACCATGTTGCTAGCAGTTGGTAAATACGGTGATATGATGGTCTCCGATCCCGCAGATGCCGAAGGCGATGTCGTCGTCGTCTAGTAATTTTTGATTTCTGTTCATGAGTTGGAGTTGGATATCCCTTGATTCTAGAGGCTTCTCTATTGGTTGTGGATGGCGTTTCCACGATTTTCCTTTGTTCCTTTTTTCATCTCCTTTGTTTGCATGAAGCGACGAGACATGAGCAATGAGGCTCTCTAGTCTTCCTTGCAAGCCGGCACGCCGGATGCTTTCTTTGATCAACCTACAACATTTAATTGGCGTGGCGGAAACCAGGACCAACTTGGTTCTTGCTTCTCCTATTCCTGTTTGTTTACTTTCGGGTCTCATATTGAGTCCCTCTGTACATATTACCTGTGGACGTACCTTGATCATGGTGCAGTACTCTAATGTGCATGAATAACTGTTGTCACACTTTCCGTATGACCTTTAACTTGATTCCATCTATCTTCTAACTTGGCTAGGCGTAATTGGGCAGAATATCTTCGGATTGATAATGCCAAGCTTCATCATGGCTCCTCCTAAGTCCGCTGTTGTTCTTTTTAGACAATCTGCTTTGCCCAACCAAAGACTAGGTTTTATGAACCTACGTGAGACTGGTTATCAATGACAATTGTGGCTGTATTCTAGAGAGCAGACAGAATGCACAGAACAATAGGTCCCTGTACATACATACATAGAAACCTTCAAGTCCTCTATACGGTTTATACTTTTCACCATCCACGTATACCGTACATAAATTGTATAGCACCGATACAAGAAACAAGCATCTAAAGAGCAATGACGCCAACAACACCAAAGACAAAGATAGACATTGTTAACACGTCATGAATTCAGAGTGTAGCAGTAATCGACGAAAAAAAAAAGCTTCGCTTCGCTCCTTCCGGTTGTTCAATGCCAAGACGTTTGGCTTTAACTATAACTACGGTAGTTACACCACGTAGTGAGTGCATTTTAATCATGGATTTTACAATTGAAATATGCGCCCCGGACTTCATCGTGAAGGGAGTCATTGACGATGTATCAACAATGTTCCACGTATATTTGTTGCATGACGATGCCTTTTTGAAATATAGCTCTATTTTCACTGCTTTAAGATCTCGATTTTGATTTCGTGCTCTGCTCACTATTTACAGCTTAGCTACGTAGGCAGATAACCTCGAACGACCTTGTAGAATGCTGGAATTGGAGTCAATAGAAGCTTAAATCAATTCTTTTTAAACGTGCAGCCGCTAGCCCAGATCAGGTTAGGGTAGATTAGTTTAGATATCAAAAAGATCAACGAAAGAAGTAAGGGTGGTATTTGCAGGAAGATAGCAAAAAAAATTTGACATCATATGATAAGTACAGTTGTTCGCGTAGATAAGATGGATATATAAACAAGTACATGAAGAAGAATCGCTTCTACTCCGGACGACAAATAAGTCGGGGGCTCACGAGACAGGCTGTGAGATTGACTGCCGGACCAAATGACCAACACGAGGCTTCACGATGGACCCGGCGAAGCTGTGCTCGGCTCGCCCCCGACTCCGAGGCTCGGGACCACCAATACTAGCTGACGGCAGTGTCGTAAACGCAGAGTGCCCATCCCAAGCAGACACTTGGTAGATGAGGCATGCAAGTATTAAGATAGATGAAATGTAAATCAAGATTCGCGCCCAAGTCGGTTCATGAGAATGCTTAGGTTTTGTCTTCTTTGGGCTCTTCTTTAGGAGGCTCTTCTTTCGCCTCGTCTTTGGCTTTTGGGGAGAATCTCCATCGGTCCCAGTTCTCCAGCACCCACCAGTTGGTGACATAGGCTGCATGGTAGAGCCAGTTCATAATTTCTTCATCCTCATACTCGTCCTGAACCGCGGACGCGAGATCGGCAAGGCTGAAGCGCTCGATCGGGCTCAACTCGTTCGGGTCCTTGGACACATCAGTGAAGCGCCATTCCACGTCGTTGACTAGCGGGATCACTAGGCGGAACTCGGGACGGGCGGCCGACCGAACAGAGAGCCATGAACCACCAGTGTTCATGACTGTGAAGTGCCAGGCTTCGCGTCCGTCCTGCTTGACGACCTGCGGTCGGATCATGGATTGACCTTCGTACAGCGAGCGAATGTCGCGTGCGGCACGCGTGCTGTCCTGGCTGAGGGATGCCGACTCGATCAACAAGTCGATGATGGTGGGGACGATCTGGGTGCTGATGACTGGGGTGTCGATTTGAACGGGAGGGAGGAGCGGGTGCGCAATCACGATCGGCACCTTGAAGCTGCCGATGTGGGGGTTGTCATAGGGAGTGATACCGCCGTCGTTGGGGAGGGAAAGGCCGTGATCGCCAGCCATGACGAACAAGGTCTCATTGGCGACTCCCTTCTCCTCCAGGATATCGATGAGCTCCGAGAGCCAATCATCGACATAACCGACGGAGTTCAGGTATCGATTCATATCGCCGTTAGCACCGGATTTGGTGCCCATCACATCTTCAAAGGCGTCGTTCGGAATTCCCCAAGGATGATGGGTGGTACTCGTGAGGTGGGTGAGGAAGAGACGCTGGTGATCACGTTCCGCATCATCAATAGCATCACGGATGTACTCTCGAAGCTCAGTTTCCGGATAGCCATAGTAGTTCACCTCGGCACTTTTAACAGGGAAATGCTTGGCATCAGGCTTGATGATCGTCTCCTTGGTCTGTTTGTCGCGAAATCCCAAGTGCGGAGTCAACTTGAACTGATTGTCGTACATTTCGGTGACCGACATCATAAAGGTCGAATGCCACGGCCACTTGGTGAAGTCGTCGGTCTCACTGTTGATATCCGGTTGCTGACTCAACGTGTCGAAGACCTGGGGCAGACATGGCTGGTAGATATGGTGTTCGAATTCGCGGTTGAAATCGGCGACCAGTGGGGTCACACCACAGAAACTTCCCGTCAAACTCTTGAGAGTATAGGTGGAGGAGGTGATGGCATCCTTGGCACTGATACCACCATACGCCTTGCGGCCGAAACGGGTATCGTCGTGCTCAAACCCGTTGGGGAAGTTGGTCAAGAACTCGGCAGTCCGGGTGAGGTTGGCAAGGCGTTCCACAACCTCTTGGGGAATGGTCTTGTTCTTCCAGGTTTCCGCGATGCGTTTGTACATGAAGCTGTCCTTTTGCAGAGGGAAGATATCGGCACGTGCACTCTCGAGTTTCAAGAATACGACATGCTTGATCTTCACATCGCCGCTGGCTAGTGCGTTGTGAATCTCCTGCAGCACCGGCTTGTCGAGGTTGGAGATGTGCAATGGGTCCCCATGCGGGTCGTAGTGCAGCGCCAAGGGGTCGGATTGATCCCAGTCCTCGAAACCTTCGAGCGGTTCCTTGGACATCCAGGTCCATTGAGGTGCGGGGCCCAATGCAGTGATCCTATCTAAATACCCAAAACGCGAGGGTGTGCCAGCGGTATCGACGGGGGATTGACGCTCCGCACCTTCAATGATGGTCGTCAAGGGCAAGGTGGTGGACATGTACATGTAAACCGGGTCCCACGGTCGCATAAAGCGGAGGAAGAGGAAGAGACTGAACAATCCCAGGACGAGGGCCCGTTGAGGTACACCGTCGGTGACTCGCTTGGAGGCGGGGAGACGGTTGGGTAGGCGAGCGGTGTTCAACAGATGATCCCCTTCTTCGTTATCGCTGAGATCATCGTTGTCATCCATGGCGATTTGTTCGTAGATTCGAGGATCGGGCAGGTCGGCGACTGAAGATTTAGATCGGGGCCAGAAGCGCTGCACCAGGGGCTCCACGTGTGGGCGCACACGACCAAACAGCCACCGAACGGGCCAGGCCCAGACATGCAGGATGCCGCCCGAGATGGCATGAATGGAATGGGCAGCGAACAATGAGATTGTGAGGAGGATGGCCTCGACGATCAGAAATCCGGTCAAACCGGTCAGGAGGGTGTGAATGGCAGCGGCATCACCATTGAAGGATTTGGCTTGGCGCCAGTGGATCTCGGCACCTGTGAAAACGTAGAAGGAGGTATTGGCGGCGGCCATGAAGGAGACGATGAGACTGCATATTGTTAGTGATGAGGATATAATTAATTATATTCAGATCAAGTCTAAGTCTATTGAAAAAGACCTGAAAGAATGTAAAAATGCAGTGGAAAAAGGGGCACGTGGACACTTACCTAGACGGGATAACCAAGATAGCGAGCAGAGCGGCTCCCGGTCGCCACGCGACCTTCTGGGCCAGAATGCGAAACAGCAATAGCAGCATCACATCCTGGAAAAAGAAGGTGAGACCCCATAGGAATAGTCGCGGAAGGGGTAGGGAATATATATGGGCGTAGAGATGGAGCAATTTGGCACTGAATAACGAGAGAACGGCCAGGGTGAAAAAATAGCGACGGGCAAAGTCCCAGACAGCATCCAGGGTCTCACCAGGCGAGAGACGAACACGCCGGATGCCGTGGCTGAAATAAGCATGAACAGCGTGAACGACTTTCATGGTCATATGAATGAATGAAATGTGTATATATATACTTCACACCCCCGACATTTAAGAAAAGAAAAGAAGAAGAAGTCGGGAAGTAAGAAGTAAAGGGAGAAGGCCAAGGGTCTTGACAAGCCGAGTGCCCAGGTGGGATTTAGTGGAGACGATGACTGGGACCATTTTAGGTACGACATACGAGAGACGTGAGACGTGAGACGTGAGTATATTTGGGGGTGAATAGGGGATTATGGGGTTAATTATGAGCTATGATTGATTAAATGTCGACTTATACACATCTATACATACCTTCACTCTTATATATCCCATCTTAATACCTATATTCTGTCAATTACCCTCCGCTTCTCCCCCCCCCCAAGCCCCCCCCAAGCCCCGAAAAGCCAAGACAAATGAGGCCCCGCTCTCCGGAATTGAAATAAAAAAAAATAAAAATCCGGTTTCTCCTCTTTTTTCTCCTCGGGGCTTATTGTGTTCATCATGGTAGGGAGCTTATTCGGTTGGATTGCGCTCCTTTTCGAGCCATTAGCCTTTCAAGTTCCTCTGATCGAACCTCAACCCAGACTCAAAGCAGAGAATGGTATAGCCGTTCCAGCAGAGGGCCCCTGGCAAGAGATCATCACCGGCCATTATGCGGTTCCCCCCGTATTGAAAATCCATGACCGAAACAGTGTCGTCAAATGGAGCTGGCAACGAGAAGATGTCACCCAACCCCTGCCTCCTTTGATTCATAGCGGTTTATATAGCGGGTTCAACGATGCGACCGATATGAAGTGGATGCGGGGTGGGAGAAGCATCGCTGCCGTCTACAGTGCCCTCGTCGTGGTCATCAACCACACCCCCGACCAACCCTCCACCGATAAGAAAATCACCTTCGCCCTCAACAGAGCAAACGATGTCCTACACAATGCGCATACTATCGAGCCCCTGCCCGGTGACCGTCTCGCCGTGGGAACCACCGGACAGCGACCCTGGGATGGCATTTTGGTCTACAACATGAGCTCGGACCTCCCCCTCGTCGACGAACCGCCCGTATTGCAAAAGATCGAAGGTCTGCGCGCGATCCACGCCATGATCTGGGATGAGCAGGGACAAATGCTGTGGGCGACCGGCACCGACGCCGCCGCCGATGGCTCCGACCCCGTTCCAGCCTACGGTGTCATTCAGGGATACCCCTTCGATGCCGAGACGGGCCTACTCAGCATCGACGAAGCCTATCGATTCCGATTCCCCGAGTACTGGGATATCGACGTCGAATGGGGCCATGGATACAGCTGGTGGGCCGGGCCCCATGATCTCGTCCCTGTTCCCAACGAACGGGTATTCCTCGTCTCCAACGATATCGGTCTCCATGCCTTCGATATCGAGAAAATGGAATTCACCGCCGCATACGATGAAGTCGTCGAGAAATATATGCCCGGCTTCGAGGTCACCACCAACGATCGGCATGGCATCAACCGCCAGGGCGAATACGTCGAGTTGCCGCAGTCGGACCTCAAGGGGTTCAGTCTCGCTCCCGATGGAAGCTTCATATACACCCAGTCCCTATGGCGACTATACCGGGGGAATTATACCAGTCTCGTGGTCGATGGTGTGCGTACCCAGATCATGAAAGGGAATGAAATCTATCGGTCGCGATGGTTCGGCGACATCGATGGCTGGCCCAAACCGAAGACATAGTGTTTTAACCTGTATAGCACGCCTATGGGCTCCATATATAAATCTGATATAATGAACGTTCTACCTATGACCTGTTTGCCTGTCATTCACAATGCCTTGTTGACCTACAATATCATCTACATCCCTATCTCGTTAGAATAGACTTCCCAACCCCGGAAGAGGCGTTTATTACATTTCCATTGTGCTACCATAAGCAAATACCGTCGACATCGGATATCCAATTCCATGTACTCCGTACTCCTCCCTACCAAACCTTCCATTTTAAGAAAGTTCCAAATTAAGACAACGCTACTCCGAATTCGCCATGGCCCCGGCCCTAGTCAGGGTAGGTGACGCAAGCCTAAATCTCCACCAAGTCTTCGACAACCCTACAAGATAACAGGGCTGATTTGTTGGCAGATCCCCATAGGCCATCGATAAACCCTCTAGGCTCTTGCCTCTTGCCTCCTGGCTGCATAGCATGGCCCCAGATTCCGAATCCGAATCCGACTCTGTGCGGTCTGTGCTGATGCTGAGTAATGCATTGCAAATGTAACCCTGAGCCGAGCCATAAGTTAACTAATACGAGCTTACTACGTACGGATACGTCGTACGTGTTTCAGAATACGGGTCCCGCTTGCACTTCCATCGCCAAACCATAACGGCGGTTGGCGGGTGGAGGCGCCTTCGAAGACCCGCTTCGTACAATACATAACAGGAGGCGATGGATGGTGGTGGATGTCGATCGCACAGCCCTGAGGAGATTGATAGGGAGACAGACCCACGCACCGGCGAATCAGCACGAGACCCTTTTCCTGAAATAGGTAGTTGCTGGTTCTGGTTCGGGTTCTGGTTCGTACTCTGTGGGCGGCGAATCGGACGTGAGCAGGAGTTTTCTGGCGCTCGCCACTGCCAAGGCTAGGAACAGGGATTGGGAATGGGCTAAACGAGTAAGAGATTTTTATGGGATTTTCTAGAACTTGGGTGGAAGACTGAGTACATTCATATTCATATCATGCGATGTTATATAGAATTTGTAGTATGGTACGGAGTAGCAAGGAAACATAACTAGAGGGAGAACAAAGTAATAAGATGGGGTGATTCTAGTGAATCTATCAGTTGAGTTGATTTGATTATCCGGACATCAATCCTCCGGTACTGATGCGAGGGATCTTTCTATCCATATCGATTTATTCATGTGGCTGGAAAAATAGAGCATTCTCTGTCATTAACTAAACCTACCTAGGTACCAGCTAGAATATCTGCCTTGTCTCGCAAACGAAAGCGACGAGATACAACGCAAAGACCAAGTCCCGTCAAAGCCGAAGCAAGCTGATTGAAGTCCCAGATCGAAGAAAGCAATCTTTCCACATCAGCCAACCACAAAAGATCAGCAAACCTCGACAAATCTCACGCATCAACAAGACCCTTTCGCTTTAGGAATGGTGGGATTTTGGCTATCATCGCTGCATACGAGTAGATTGTGCTGATAGAAGCCTCGTTTCCGTAAGCCAGATAGCTTAGGGCCGACTGTCCGTGTGCCGGAGAGCCGATCCATATGACTCCTCGCCTGTGTTTGCACTTCCACCTGTTGTTATTGAGATTGAGTGTCTGGAGTAAATGTCCTATGTTAGCTATCTGATGCTCCCATTGATCACTTTGATATTCTATACTTACTTCACCAAACTCTTCAGTCATGTCGGTGGTAATGTATGGATGTAGCTTGTCTCCAACGAGCACTGGGACTTGTTAGCAGACTGAGATTGCATGCTAAAATCCTTGCAAGGGGCCCTTCAATCGGCATGAAAGAAGTGCTTTTTTCCAGTAGCGATCAACATTCATAGGGAGAGGAAACTCTGAGTACTCCATTTCGGGTTGGGGTTACTCACGTTTGTCATTCACGTCATCCTCCTTTTTTCCCTTGGAGTCCTTAGGGTTGGAGTCATACTCCAGGGATTCATACTCCTCATCCATGTCATAATCCCCCTTCCTAAAGTCGTCTTCTTGAATCACTGGAACAACCTCAATTTTGATTCCGAGGGATTTGAAAACGGAGTACAACACAAGGTCAGCACCCTTGAGTGCCCTCGGAAGTAGCATTGGAGCCTCATCGGATGCATGAGGATAAGCGTGAGAGCAATAGAACCCGAGAGCGCCACCTAGGAAGAGTTAACTTGGTATTCTGTGTCCAAATAACGGCATATCGCAAACACACCCTTTTGCATAAAGCCGGGCTCCATGATAAGCTCTTGCAAGTAACCATACAGCGGAAAGCTCTTGGGATCAACAATCATGCTTGGTGGAATCGATCCTCCCACTGGCTCGGTTATGTAGAGGTTGTACGTCAAGGTGATCCGCTCGCCTTCCGTGATTGTTTTGATCTCGTGCTCGCAGTCACTATAGAATGCTGCCCACTGAATGGCAGACGCACTCTGCTGATCCCAGTCAAACACAACCTGTCTTCCCTCGTGATTAACGACCAAGTCGCCCCCTTTGAACTGAGAGGGTAAACAAACGACCAGCGAGCCGATTTGGGTCTTGGATCGCGGTGTGTCCACATGCTGCCGGAAAAGCCCAGATGGTCCCGAGTAAACCTATGGTTAACAGGCACATTAGTATTTGTTGCAGCAAAGGTGTTAGATTAGCATACATTCAGCTTGTATAACTCGGCACTCAATTTCCGGAAGGGCAGAGAGTCCTGCGCCTCTGTGTTGAAGTTCGGAAGGAGAACTTGCTCCACATTGGGAAGAATTCCGAATTCCGCTGGATGGAAGCTGGTGAAGAAATGTTCAGGGTCAAGCTTTCCAGCCTTTCGATATTCAGGATCGATAATATCTTGCTGTCCTCTGCCAAAGCTAGCAGGATCGCAAACTGCCACCAACTGGCGCAAATCATCGGATGCAGATTGGGGGTTGGCGTTCGCATCAAGAGGTAGAGCCAACTCTCGCGCGATATCGTCACCATCTGTACGCCAGCAGATTCTCACTGGCGGAGACGCAGAGATGGGTTTGGAGGACTTAGAATTAGCTGCGACATTTGTACCAATGGGGACAAGACCTCCACAGACAAAGGTTGCAGATGCCTTTTTTCCGACAACGAAAGCCTCCAGCTGTTTACAGATCTTTTTGAACGCGAGGCCAGTCAACGATGGAACCGCGGACTTAGACCTCTTCTTGCTCGAAGAAGCCATGGTGGGTTAAACAGTAGGGAGGAATGGGAAAAGGAGAAGGAGGAGATGGAGGAGAAGTAGAAGAAGGAGAAGGAAGAGGAGAAGGAGGAAGGTTAAGTAGGAGGAGGGAGGGGAGACGGTGAGGCAATAAACCACAAACAACCCTGGAAGGGAGGTGGTTGCCTAAAGTTGGAGGTTACCACGCGTGTCAGCCTGAATTTAAACAAAAGATGTCTAGGCTACACCTTCTGCCTAGTCAAAAGAATGCGCGAATATTCTATACTACCCCCAGCGTCTGACTGCAATATGACGTGCAATAGGATGTCATCAGCGTAAAGAGATGAGGTGAAAACCAAGGCTCAAGGGTGTAGTTGTAGCTTTCCTGTAGTCAGTTTTCGATAGTTTTATACCCCTTAGAATGAAGTTGTAATGGTTGCCAGACTACTCCATACGGAGTAGATATCTTGATCTATGGCTTATATACGTGGCTATACGTACCTACTATATTTCCTTGTGGGGTTTTCCTATCCTAGCTGCCGCCGCTTTCATATGCTTCCAAGGCAAAGAAAGGCACTCGTACCAAATGCTATCTCCTTCGACCATTGCAAGCTCTTAGTCTTGCTTGTTACCGACTTTCCCCACATGACGAAGCCCTAGAGGACCACAAAGCCCACCCACAGTTGATCAAACACTACCAATCATTGGTAAGATCAATTGGCTTTGCCGCTATTATGACACGTCCCGACATTGCTCTTGCACATCAGATGCTTTCTCAATGGTTGACTAAGCCGGAAATAAGCCACGTGATCGCTGCAGAGCAAACAATATCAGATCGTGTTGGGCGTCAAACTCGATTGAATTGAGTAATCGTTTCATCCAAAGTAAGTGCTTTGCTGCCTCAGAAAGTGCAACTGACTGTGCTTCGGTTGTTGACGTGGTAACAATCCGTTGTTTTCTTGCTGACCAATCAATTGGACCACCAAAAAGGGTAAAAATGAAGCCTTGGGAACTTTTTCGTCCGATATTGTCAGCAAAGCTTGCATCTAATGCTGCGCGGAATACGCATTGAGAATCACATGATCCATCGAATTCAATTGAGTGGTATCTGGTCCCATAAAGGTATGAGATTGTTTGCTCCCCAATCCAATCAATATTGTAAGCAAGCTTATGCCATGTAGCCCGGCATAGCTTCATCGAATCCGGGTCCGATGGAAGGATCAAGATGGACCCGACAAACAATACGGCATCGATAATGGCGGTGATGTAAAACCCCTAACGCGTAGCCTAGTGGCTGTCCCATCCCTGTCGCTGCAAAAGCATGTTCCTCCGGCGCGCAGGTGGAAAGGATGCAGTGACTAGTGACATGGATGTCGGGAGAGTCCTAGCAGAGCACGGAAAATGATGAATTGGTTACCAGTGCGGGCAAGTCCACATGCAATGATCAGAGGAGACGAGAAGCCGCTCCCGATCAGCCACATTCTCTTAGAGCCGACCACATCCGCAACGGAGCCGAATGCTAGCAAGGTGTATCTTGCAGAGAAAGCAATTACCGATGCCGGCCAGAAGATCAACTGCGGTCGAGGCTGATGTCGGTTGAGATACGAGGAAGTGCGGTGGTCAGAATTCCAGTTCCCGAGACACTGATAAAAGTGACACCAGTTATTATGGTTATAATCCAGAGAGACTCCAATGCCGACTTGCCATTCTCTTCCAACGACTCCTCAGATAGAACGTGCCCATCTAGCTTTGGCGGCTCTCTTTCCGTTTCCACGACCTCCTTGTCGCGTCTTTTATCGTACGATTCCGCCAACGCCGACTGTTGTGGTCATGGTCGCCATGGTCGCGGAAGCTGCTTTGTCTCACGGTATGAGAGATATGAAAGAGACCATTCAAGGGATCCGGTGAGAACAACAGGTCACCCAGCCCTCCAAATATGACGGAAGGAAGTTGAGAAGTGGCTGAGGAAATCAAGTAAGTAGGTAGGCGGCGTTCAGTCTAGGTCTACAATGAGGGAATATTCTGTCAAAGGCGGGGAGGCGACCAGGTGCAGGGGTACGACGGTGTATGGCGCGTATAGCGCTCAAGCCTGGATGGCATGCCTGAATGCCTGATTTACGCCTGATATTGCTGCCTGATTTTAGACCATAGCATGGAAAACTATCAACCAATATCCCATACAAAATCTTTTTTTTTCGGTGTGTTTTAACCTACATTTCCAGTGAAAGCAGTGATGTCGTGCCATGGTGCTTATACAGCATTGAAACATATACTCCGTCTTCTCTGCCTTTTTCATTCTCTTTTTCCATTCAAAGACATATATATCTTATATTCTTGGTCAAATTGATCTTCAAATGGGCTTGTCATAATAGAGGAAGCTCGCAGTGCGAACTCTGCAATCATATTTCCTGAGTACATATCGAAGGAAAGCACGATAGGCAGTCTGGCATAGCAGACAAGACGAGAGCAACCAACAACACCAACCTTCCAACTAGGCCAGCTAGCAAGTGTAGGGGATCATGAAGCCTCAGTTATCATTCGATCTTCCTAGAAAAGCAGCATCTTGCAAAATCTCCTTCACTCTGAGTCCCTATCTGACATGGTAAACCGAAAATCCTTTCTGCCTGAAAAACAGGGCCCCTATACCACTTCTTGGCGTTCTCTTTCCGTTTTAGTGCTCAGGCCTTGCCGCTTTTTTCTCACTGAGGACGGTCCATTACATAATCTGAATGATCTGCTCACAGATTATGAGCCCCTGAGCATCCTGATCCACCCACTGATCATCCTCTAAGCACTCTGAGTTGCTCACCGAGTGCTCACTGAGTGTACTCCTGAGTGTAGAAATGAGCGGTCTGAGGACGGAGTACGGAGTAAGTTTCATGAATAACTATAAAATGCGACACGCTGATCCCATCACGTGCAACCCTCTCATAGATCCATCAACGTGACTAGTGTTATGTATCTGTCGACAGACGAGTCTCAATCCAGGTATTAGATAGAGGAATTCCAGTACCCACGTATACCTGCCTTTAAGAATATTCAAAAAGCTCCTATGCCCTAATAATCCGTATAATGAACGTTCCCAGTGCAACTACCTGTATATGATGTCACTGAAGAATTGTGGAGGAGTTTTCCTTGAAGGATAATTAGATGGGCGTAATCCACTATGAATTCAGGCATTGATCAGCATAACTTAAGCATTACATATTAACTAACTAGTATAGATGATAATATCTATCCCGAGTTTAATTTGACCGAAGGCCAAAAGTCTCCGACAAGCTTGGACTCCGGAGGAATTCCATGGTCGTACGCCATATCAAACATCTGATTTGTGGAGACTTTGTTCGGAGAACCGCCCTTTATGGTTTAGCTTGACATCAAATTCCACAGAACTCCTAGACGGATCTTTAATCCGTTTATGGTTTAATCCACACCTATCAGAGATTTCATTGGCAGTGATGTGTAGGAACTGCTAGAAAATGGCGCGGCTTAGGGGCTAGATGCCGATCAATCAAAGACATGTAAAACTTTTCAGTTGTAGAAGCTATGTTTAAAAGGAGTGCCATCTGCCTTTTCCTCTTAGCGCTACCATCCTTCATTTTCCTGCAAAATTACATTTACACAACATCATAATGAGTGTCACTTTTGAGGTTTTCCGCGGCTCCAACGAGGGCAAGATCGTGGCCGACAAGACCACCCGTGTCCTGGAGCCCAACGAGGTCTACATCGAGACAACACACTCCGGTCTGTGTGGTACAGATGAACACTACCTCACTTCCGGCATAGCTCTCGGCCATGAGGGTGTCGGTATCGTTCGCCAGCTGGGCCGGGACGTCACCAGTGTAAAGGTTGGAGCGCGTGTTGGATTTGGATACACACACTACGTGTGTGGAAACTGCGAGAAGTGCTTATCTGGTACGAGTTCCAACCCCCAAAACAAGACCGACAACTTGCTAATAGTAACCAAAATCAGGCTGGGACCAATACTGCGAGAATAAGAAGGAATACGGCTCACACGACCACGACCTAGGCTCGTTCAGCGGCGGCACCGTTTGGGACGCTCGATGCGTCGTCCCCATCCCGGACGGCTATGAGTCCGCTGACGCCGCGCCCATGATGTGTGCCGGTGCCACCGTCTGGACCTGTCTGATAGAGTACGGCGTCAAGCCGATCGACCGGGTGGCTGTCATGGGTGTCGGTGGTCTGGGCCACCTAGCCATCAAGCTCGCTTCGGCGATGGGCTGCCACGTGGTTGTTTTGTCCAGCTCAGAGGCGAAGCGCAAGGAGGCTTTCGAGTTCGGCGCATCCGAATACCACGTCTTCCACAAGGGTGAAGAACTCAAGGACTTCAAGCCTGTGAACCACCTGCTGCTTTGCGGCAGCGGCAGTGTCGACTACTCCAGCCTCATCCCAATTATGGATGTGCATGGCTCAATCTACCCCTTGACTGTCGACATGGTTCCCTCGCCCGTTCCCCTTGTGTTCATGAATCTCAAGGGCATCCGTATCCAGGGTTCGCTTGTTGCATCGCGCCGCAGTCTGCGTTCATTGCTTGAGTTTGTTGCCGCTAAGAAGATTACCCCGACTAGCATGATCTTCCCCTTGACCACCGAAGGTATCGAGACTGCTATGCAGACTCTGCGTGGTGGAAAGATGAGATACCGCGGTGTTCTGGTTCGGGAGTAAGTGATGATCAACATCGATGGAGAGTTTTAATAGTCAGCATGTATTATATTCCCACTAGTATTAGAACGTTTATAGATATGGCAAGTGCAGATGCAATACACCAAAGTGAGACAATACCTCGTTGGGGTATGCTTAAATTATGGCGGTTGGTGAGATTTTCACATAGACATTTCCGAAAAGATAGAAAAATTAGGGTATGAGAACAACGTTACCGACTTAAAAGGCTTCTTTAGGCGCTAAGCTGTCTTCTGATTGGCTCGTTTATACGAGGCTTGCCAAGCATCCGTATTCGGCTTCAGGCTTGGCAAACCATTAAACCATCCTAGTCCCATGTAGCTCAACTCAACTGGCTGTATTAAATTTCGAAAATTGAGATCACTGTTGAAATTCACATGTTATATATGGTACTTATTCACGTTTCTAACAATCTGAACGTGTTTATTTACAAGGCCCTCGACGGAAATGCCATGAACAACCAAAAAAACACCATAGAATACATATATCAATCAATCAGAAAAGCCACCAACTCCTGGTATTCACCGGATCAAGCTGCACCATCATATTTCTGTCGTCTCTTCATAGACTTCCATTGAACAAGTCCAGCGCCAATAAAAGATAGGAGTGCGGCAGCAACAGACACATAGAATGTCTGAATGACAGCAATGTTATAGGCGTGTAGGACGGAGGGCAGCATATTTTTGGGCACGCGCTGCGATAAATTTGCAGCGCCGGCTTTTATTAACGCGTCTGAGTTGATATTTGGAGCATAAGCCGTTATGCTTGCAACAAGGCGATTCTCAAAAACGGTTTGAGCAATCGAAATAAACATTGCGCCGCTGAGACTCTGTGCAAATGTAATAATGGCGATTCCGATTGGTATGTCCTGTAATGGCAGTACAGTCTGAAGTGCGTTGATGCATTGCTGAAAGCCAATTCCTGCTCCAATTCCAAGAATGACTTGGTATCCAACCCACTCCGGATATCCGCTGTTTACTCTGAACGTCGTACACAGTCCAGAGCCAACCGTGAGAAATGCGCTTCCAACGAACATGAGTGGCGTGTAGTATCCAACAATATTTACCAATAACCCTGCTAAAGCAGAGAACACAATCATAGCCACCACCATCGGAAGATTGTTGATTCCAGATTGTGAGGCCGAATCTTCCTTGACTGCTTGAAACCAGATAGGGAGCTTGAAAAATGTTAGCAATGACGCTGATAGGACTGTATTGAGAACCCACATAGTATCCGAAGACAAAAAATGATCCACCTAAAAATGTAGCGTGAATTACTGCCCCAAGCACATTTCGATTCTTGAGTAAACGAGGCGGTACTGTAGCATCGTCCTGCTTCCAGACCTGGATAGCACACCACGCAGAACCGAATACGCCGAACAGAGCAAACAGGGCAATTATTCGAGCGTTGTTCCAGCTGTATTTGGTGCCGCCCCATTGCAGGCATAAGAGAAGGGAGACGACGGCGGGGATGAATGCAAGTATACCAAGAGGATCCATTCGCTGTAGCTGTCCAAGGCGGCTTATTTTGGGTTTTGGTGATGTAGAATCCTTGAAGAAGAATAAAATGACAAGGCCGGTGAGGACACCAAAAGGTATATTTATCCAAAAGCACCATCTCCAACTGACATGATCAGTTAAGAGTCCCCCCAGTCTATGGTAAAATTAGCCGCCATCTATGCGATTGAAATAGCGAGACTTACAATGGTCCCGTAATTGTCGCAATTCCACTAGTGCTACCGATGATCCCGAAATAGAGGGCACGCCGGTGAAGAGGCACACTATTCGCAAGTACGAGTAGAGCACCCGGGGACAATCCTCCAGATCCGATGCCGGCAATTGCTCGCCCAAAAATCAATCCCTTCGATGTTGGTGTCACTGCACATATCAGAGAGCCAAGTTCAAACAAGCCGAGAGCAATCATGTATGTCCATTTCGTCGAGTAATATGTGTATACCTTGCCAAATGGTAGGGTGACGGCACATGTGGTTAAGAGATAAGCACTGGCATACCACGACAAGTCGCCCAGTGAGTTGAATTGTTCAGTGATTTTGGGAACGGCGGTTGAGAGGATTGTGTTGTCCTGGTAAGTCGTCCGCATTAGCTCATGAAATAGTAACCATAATCTTCAAGCTTACCAAGGCGATACAAAAGGATTGAAAGCAAAGTCCTATCAAAATCGGAGCAAGCTTTGAGCTCGAAGGATAGACTTGCTTTTCTTCTTCATCATCACTGTCCTCGGTTCGAGTCTCTTTCAATGGGATGTCATCTCGATTTGTGTAGACTTCATCCCCGAAATCTTTCATGCCTGAACTGTGTGCCATTAAACTGCAAGTTAAATTCCCCAGTTGTTATTGCAACTGTGAGAACTCATAGAAATCTGTTTGATCGAATCATCCGTGCTGAAGTCTGAGGAGTGTTTGAAATAGGCAAGGTAGAAGCTGCCACATTAAATCCAAGTGTGGATGTACAGAACTTGCCTTGTAGTACATCATGTACCTACATTACAACAGCCGGATGTAACCCGATAAAGCAAGGGGGTTATATCTTGATTTCTCGGGGTTTTTCGCTTTGCCCTGGTCACATTCTTACTGGGTTGATTGGTATGCACTACTTCTTCCTCGACAAGACGCTTGCTAGACCCAAGCAGCATCTATATCTTTGCTCAAATAATAGGGGTCATGCTCTGAAAATATCACTTGCCCTATTGAATAATCAGTCTAATAATAAATAAGGCTGTATCATTTGATATCGTTAGTTACTCGAGGTCGATCACTTCCGACGTGATGAATCTCGAGACCCTTCATTCCAGTGAGACTGTAACCTCACTAAACACAGAACCTATGATGGCTAGATACTTATAGTAATAAATAGCTTCGAAGCCTGCGCAATATTCCGGTGGTCTTCCAATCAATGTACCACCTCTGTATAACCAACTGACTCGCACAAAGCTTGTGTGCGTTTTATCATTGTCAAAATACACCGATTTCCTTATACAGACCACCAAGAGTTATCGTGACCGGACCACTGTTAATTGACGAGATAATACATATACAAAGTGCAAATTGATCGTTGGAGCCGGAATAAACATGGTTAGCCACAAGGCTACAACATCACTCATTAAAGTACCGTGGTAGCAGCTTGAGCAAGCCTCACCAACTACCCTTGTATAATACAAATTTCTATACTAGATATCCAACATTGGGAGGACTATTTCGAAAGACTCTAGTGATCTCATTTTAGTGCGAAGAGAACATAATATTGCCCTAGGAGACTCAGCAATCGCAAATACCGCAAGCCTCATTTCGAAGGGATGGATAGAAGGGGCACCCGGCTAACAGGTTTCTAGCCCCGTCAGGTCTTTTAGGAATCCTGACCCATTAACGATGTAGGTAGAGGAGTGAATATTATTCCGAGGAATGCATGTGAGCTGATTTTCAACTTTATTCTTCTACGAGCTCTATTTCTCGCCAATGAAACTCGGAGCTCATACTAGGAAGCTACTTGGGCTGTTTGTATTATTTTCCAGCCTATCGATCACATCATCGTCGCTTGCCGGATTGAGGCCTAGGTACAAAGCTTTTCTTTCTTTTTGTGCGTATTGATCCACGGATAGAAGATATTATGACGAGCTTTATGATGATGAACGACTTGCCAGTGCTAGTGTAGCGGAAGTGCAGTAACCAGATGTGATGGATATATATGTTCCGACACCTAGCGGCGTGCTATGAGGAGCATTGGGCCGTGGGAGACTTAAGACTTGATAGTGAGTACTCGAGAGGGAGGATACTCCGTGGTGGTTGACAGCTTAGCGATCAGCTCCGGGGCTTAGAAAGTTCCGAGAATGGCAGCGAAACAGGATGTAAAGCATGAAGTCAGATTCTGGAGCGAGGGTAAAAGTGCTGTTTGAGCTATGTGATCACTATTTGGAGGGGCTGCACCTGCGATAGAGTATGTAAATACCGAGTAAAATCTTGAGCAATTCAGATCTCTATCGATAGAACGTGCCCTCCACAAAATCACAAAGACCCAATAGTTCTTTTGATCCATGTCTGGGGCACTCGAGACCACATTTATGACGCAACAGAGTGGAAACCCGACGGTATTCAGTAGTGATCTCCAAGCTTATGGACATGCGAGATACAGAAACACGCGCTGGAGGCTGGAGCGCCCCGAAACGTCATAGGCCGCGATCTGCACGCCTTGTCCTAGAACTCTATCAGTCGGGCCAAATGACTTAAGTGGCTGATGCAAGGGCATCATTCTAGAAAATCATAGTTGAGGAAATCTGTATATCGATGTACTCCATGTCTTGAACTGGTGCCGCCATCAACACTCCTTCAAGGCAAAAACTCACTAGTCTCTATTAGGAATAGACCCGGAATATCAATATTCCTTATCAACAATCAACACAAAAATACATTGCTGACCAATCAGTATCTACCCCTTTGGTCTATTTACTTTCCTTTCCCCACCGTCAGCTTAGAGTCAACTTCCCATCATTCCTGCAATGCCCGTTACAGTTGCGCAGATTCTCGCGCCTTACGAGTATAAACCAGAGCAAGTGGAGCGGGTAGCCTCCCGCACGGTACAACCTCCCATTACCATAGTTGAGCCCAACCCAGAATGGCCGCAACGGTTCGAAGAAGTCAAAGCGCGGATTCAAAAAGCCCTTGGGCCCTTGGTCTTGGAAATTGCTCATTCCGGCTCTACCAGTGTTCCCGGCTTACCAGCGAAAGACATTATTGATGTTGATGTGACACTGAAAGATGCCATGAATGAACTATCCTATGTGAAGCCTCTGGAAGAGGCAGGTTTTCGGTTCATCTTGCGCGAGCCGCTTTGGCACCAACACCGGTTCTTTGTGGAGAATTGGCCCGAAGCCTACCACGTCAATGTCCACGTGTGGGGTCCCGACTCGCCCGAAGCTACGCGACATCGTATCTTTCGTGACTGGTTGCTCAAAACGCCATCGGATCTAGAACTATATGCCAAAGTGAAGCGCGAAGCGGCTGAACAAGCGGCTATAGCTGGCGATTCGATGATGGATTATACCCTACGGAAAGACGAAACGATCCATAAGATCCTAGGACGAGCATTCCGCGATTTAGGCTATATTGAATGAAACACTCAAGAGGCGATTAAATTGGTACTGTCACGATCTGGAGGATCGGTGGCTCGCTCCTACCCGTTTAGGAAGGAAACGTTCCTTCCTATTGCGCAGGGAAGCTAAGCCAGCGCATTAGGAGTTTGCAGGGTTTGCATGATTTGTACTTATTGTTTCGTTGAAACTTGAGATACAGAGGCCACTGCTCCAACGATTAACCCATAGACCTTTATTCGGTAGATATGCAATAGGGCTGTATATATTGTAGAAGTGGTTTCAGCCGGAACTGCCTGATTAGGCAAGTTGCATTGCTCCCCAGGATTCGGCCCCGGGTTTTATAGAGTATGGAGTAGTGGAGAGGTGACGCGCAACATGTGGGGATTGGTGGCATGGTGTAAATCGCGGCCAAGTTTTTTTCCCTTCTTTTCCGTCCCTCCCCTTTTTTCCCTCCAAAGTTGATCTCGGAAAAAGCACCCGACAAAATAATACAAGGCAATCTAGGGCTAAAAAAGAGAGACCCCATGCGGGAGTCTTTATAGGAACAAGAGACCGAAAGAGATCTATAGGCGCAAAGATATACACTATAGAATATTTTATTTCTCCTTCACGATTGCTAATGCAAGTTCATATTTTCCGGTGTACGGAGTACAGACCGCATTGGGGAATAGAAAGACATATGCGACTCTCGCTCTCATAAACACTGCCCAAGTGACCCTGCGCCCGGGCTGCTGATCAGAGAGGAAGGTTAAGCAAATAACAAGCTATTACTGGCACTTAGTGGCGTACATTGGCATTGAATTTCCTAAGAGTTTCCACTTGGCTGAAATCTGATAGGCGGAAAAGTGATCGGCGGGCTCTGATCGTGCACAAGCCCAAAACACCCGCTAACTGAGTCTGGAGAAGCCGAGAGATTGCTTAATGAATTTGTACTTATGTACCTGGGTGAGACGGGTATGTATTGATTGGATCGGGTGGGCACTCGGATTCCAAAAGTCGTGGAAATGTACTCCGTATCGGGTTGGCCTCCAATGTCCAATGTCCATGCAAATTGTTGTAAACCTGGAGGTAGTAGGAACAGCCAATCCACATGAAGCCTGCTTGCTCGCGTAGTTGGATTCAGGGAAAATAGTGGGCCCTAAGCAGTAGCTTCGAATCACATTATGTGTTTGTTTTGGTGTACAAAGTATATTGAAGCGGAGGGCAAGAGATTATCCAGGCCCCCTGGTCTAGAGAGGTCAAGGCTCCCCCAGCGGCTTTTTAAAACCAGCCGAATACCCCGCGATGATCATTCTTTTTTTTTGGTGTTATATATATTCCTCATTTTATATCTTCTGGCGTTTCGGTCCATACATTAAAAGTATATAGAGGATTACTATTGAACAACGCCAGTATGCAGACCAGGCGGTTCTTGGGCCTTAACGGCACCAAGCTTCAGATCGCCATCGGCTTCTTGGCTGGCATGGACTTCCTGCTGTTTGGTTATGATCAAGGCGTGACTGGCGGTTTGCTGACACTCGACTCTTTCGTCAAATACTTCCCCGAAATCAACACTCTAGATTCATATACCGAGAACTGGAGCCCAGCAGCAAAGAGCAACCAGTCAACCCGACAAGGTATCACAGTCGCAGCGTACAACCTGGGATGTTTCGCAGGCTCGATTCCCACAATTTGGATCGGTAACGTTTTGGGTCGTCGCAAGGCTATCTTTGTCGGTTCTTTTATTATGTGTATCGGTGCCATTCTTCAGTGCACATCCTACGGACTTGCTCAGCTTGTTATCGGTCGATTGGTCACTGGGTTCGGTTAGTATGGCGAAACAAATGAGGGGCAATCCATTAACATGAAATGCAGGCAACGGAATCAACACCTCTACGGTCCCTACTTGGCAGTCAGGTAAGCCAAAATGAAACCAATCCCGCCTCACTGTACTGTTCCATATCTCGATTATTGCGAGAGATGGATTGGTGAGGTTGGCAGTAAATAGTGAAAGTAATCTAACATCAAGTAGAATGCTGCAAATCCCACCGACGAGGTCAGATGGTCATGATCGAGGGTGCCATGATCACATGCGGTATAACCATCAGTTACTGGATCGATTTCGGATTGATGTTCGCAGACCCAAACGAAGTCGCTTGGAGATTCCCGCTGGCGTTCCAGATCTTCTTCGCCGCGGTTATTCTGGGTTTCGTAATGTTACTCCCCGAGTCACCCCGTTGGCTTATTCTGAAGGGTCGCGAGGAAGAAGCAAAAGAGGTCCTGGCATGCTTGATGGGCGACGAGGCCGATGAGTTGTTCATCGACACCGAATTCACCGCTATCAAGGCCACTGTTCTCGAAATGGCAACGGGATCATTCCGGGACATGTTCACCATGGGCGAAGACCGTCATTTCCACCGCACTATGTTGGCATATGTCAACCAAATGTTCCAGCAGATTTCCGGCATCAACTTGATCACCTACTATATTCCCACTCTTCTGGAGCAACAGGTCGGACTGGATGCCACGACTTCACGTCTTATCTCTGCATGTAACGGAACGGAATATTTCATCGCGTCCTGGATAGCCGTGTTCACCGTTGAAAAGTTTGGCCGTCGAACACTCATGCTCTTCGGTGCGGTCGGAATGTCGATTTCAATGGCGGTGCTCGCCATCGCCGACAGCATTTCCTCAAGTCACAAACAGACCTCTATAGGTGTCAAGGCGGGTGTGGCACAGACAGTATTTCTGTTTGTGTTCAACACCTTTTTTGCCATCGGCTGGCTTGGGATGACTTGGTTGTATCCAGCCGAGATTGTCCCACTGAAGATTCGTGCCCCGGCTAACGCATTGTCTACTTCTTCCAACTGGATTTGGAACTTCATGGTTGTCATGATTACCCCTGTTGCTTTTGAAAGCATTGGTTATAAGACCTACGTCATTTTCGCCGTGATGTAAGTCCTTTTTTGGTCCCCTATCACTATTATATTTTGTACTGACCAGCTTAGCAATGCTGCTATCGTACCTGTCGTCTATTTCTTCTTTCCTGAGACTACCATGCGTTCACTGGAAGAGATGGACCGTATATTCCGCAAAACTACCAACGTCTTCAATGTGGTATCGCTTGCTCGCACTGAGCCCCACATGTATGGTTCAAATGGTGAACTGCTGCGTACTTTGGATGATGTCGAGGATGATGCTGTCCGTCGTGCCAGCTTCCTAAACAAGGAGAGTAAGGTTCACCACCAGAGCCACACTCAACACGCAGAGCAATACAGCGACGAACACACCAGCGAGGTGAAATGATCTCGGTCTGTTGTTTTGAGATCATCCCCTCTTCTCCAGACATCTAGTATGATTTTACTGTTCTGAGCCATACTGGGTTATTCATTTGTAGCCATCTCGCGATCTACCCCAATACCCCTCGTTAGACTGGGCGTTTTTCATTCTTTCATGATCCTGACATCACATTGCACATAATATTTCTCCATTCTCCAGCTCCATTGAATCATATCTCCTTGTACGGCTTCACTTTGTGCGCTCTCGAGTTCTGTTTTCAAGACACCCAGTGGTATAGATTATATCGATTGAAAGGAAATAGGGTTTGAACACAATCGTTGGCCATTCTATGAGATTTAGGTATATAGCTGATCTCTCTATGGTCTATACATCAAACCCAAAAGGCGAAAAAAATACATCAGAAACACACGTATATCGCGAGACCAAAAAGATTTACAGCTTGCTCTTGGCCGGCTCATTCTTGAGCAATGCCGCGTTCCATGGGTAAGGGTCAAACACCAAGTCGTTAACAGGGTTCTCCTCGCTTGCGCGGCGGAACAGATCCTCGTACACCTTGCCGTCATAGCGACCCAAGCTGCTGTCCAGGTGCCAGTCCGGAATCGCCCAAGCATCGACCAATCGGACAGCGTGCGGGCGGATCGCGTCGAGTAGCTTTAATACGGCAGTAGTACGAGTCAAGGTAATTTGTCGCACAGTAACCGCACCGGAAGAGAAGAACTCGGCGGCTTCACGCTCTAGAGTGTGCAGCGAGAAGAGTCTGAATAATTGATGCAGGAGGCCCTTGGTCTCTGGATCCAAGGCCGCTGAGAGTTCAGGAGAGGAAACCGCCTCGTAGAAGTTCTTCACCACCAGGTACTGAGAATGAGACGTAGACAAGCGCCAGAAGTCAACCAATAGGCTGTTCCAGGAGCGCTTCTCAGCATCCCGATGCTTGAGGGCCTCGAAGGTCAGATGAGCTGTGCGCCAGGCAAAGGCAGCCACAATGTCCTTGTCTTCATCGAGCACATCGAATGAAGCTCCCTTGTCGCGACGGTCGAGGTATGTCTGAAGAATGCGGCTAGTGTCGTTATCAGCCGGCTTACCAGCCAGGACGGCACGGGCAGATTTGAGAAGCTATTGATACGGTCAGTTAGGAGTAAATAGAATGGAAGAAAGAACTGCGACATACATATTGTGCAACCTGCTGGGTCAACATATAGTTATCACCTTCCCAAGTCAGTGTGGGCAGATAATCTGCGTAAGCCGGTCCAATGCCGCTGTAGCTGCTGTATCCGTGACCACCACAGGCGCGGCGGCAGACCTCCAGACCCTCACCGGCAGTGGTACTGGCGAGAGCCTTAAGACCACATGAGGTGGCGTGCAGATCCGCCAGGAGGTTCGCACCGGCACGGAGCTGCTCGGGTCCAGCGCCCCGCGACTCCTGATCGGCCGAACTGGCTGCCTTCATGCGGCTTTGATTCTCCTCATACAGACGCATCATACCGCGACCAGTGAAGTGAAGGGCATACATAGATGCCAAAAGCGGGAGCAAGCGCACCTGGACCATCTTATAGTTCAGTACTTGGGTCTCACCCGCGTTCGGGTCCGAATCGCGATCCTGGAACTGCCTCCGAACCGCACAGTAACGGGTCGCGATAGTCACACCGCGAGCCAGAACACCACCGGCATCTAGAACAATGTTGGCGCGCACCCAGGTCATAGTACCAAAGACAAGAGATGGCACAGCAGGCTTAGTATAGCGGTTCGTCTCTTTGTCGATCTGACAGAAGCGGGCCAGCATGTTGACATGGGGAATCTTGACATTGTTGAACAGCAGGAAACCATTATCCATAGTGCTGAGTAGTCATTAGTGCTGATACCGGCCAAAAATTGAGAGCCGACTTACTTGTAGCCAAATTTGGGGCCAATGTCGCCCACATATACATTATCCAATGGTTGATGGGTTTCGAGGTCACGGACCTGCACGACGAATGGGTGAGGACCATAGTTCTTGCCATCAATAAAAAGCTGGGCCATAACCACAGCGTGATTGGCCGTGCGACCGAGAGATCCAATCCACCACTTTGAAGAAGTCAATGTTGGGGAGTTGATGGTGAATGTCTTATCGTCGGAGTTCCAGGTGGCGGTGGTTTCCAAACCGCGCACGTTCGATCCGTGGCCCAACTCTGTTTGCGCGTAACAACCGATAATCTCGTATTTTTCTGCGCGCTCAAGGAACAGCTTGCGCTGCTCAGGAGTTCCTTGCTCGCGGAGAGTCACCTAGATAACGACCAAAGTGGTTAGTTGGAGAGTTGGATTACTGACAAGGATCTAATTCACTTACTAGGAACATACTAGCGTGTAAACCGTAAGGAGTAGGTTCACCAATCAAGTCATTAGCCGCATGGAGCTCTTCCATCGACCACTTGTGCTCTTCGGCAATCTGCTGGAGGCGCTTGGCCTTGCCCAGCGATCGCTGGAGCCGCTCTACGCGGCCCAAAGTATGGTTCTGAGACTTATCAAATACTTTCTCGGGCTTCAAAAGAGCTAGGATGGACGCTCGTCGCTCCAAAGTTTCCTTTGTGTGTAGCAACTCGGATAATCTTTCGACGTTGACATTCGATTGAGCACGCTCCTGCTGGAGGAGCTCAGATCCTTGCGGACCTGCCGGCTTCAGGGCTTTAACCCAATCAGGAGGAGGTGACGGCATTGTGAAAAAACGGGATATATTGGGATAGATGAAAGAGAGAGAATGGGGAAAGATGGGGTTATGAACCCCAGAAAGAAGGAGAAAGGTTAGAAGGTTAGAAGGGCCGAGGATCTCAATCGGGAAAGAGCCTCGGCTTAAAAGAGCTGACCAATCAGGGAAGCGCATCTCGGAAATGGCCCCGGGGAACTTCATTTCCCGACCTCGGGAGGGTCGACTCCCAAATTTACCATTTCCCTTATGTATGGAGGCCACAAAATTATACACAATTACTAACTACCGGTGGTTCATCCCACAGGATTTCCCCCGCATATTGGACTCATTTTGATATGGGGAAGCGGGGAGAGAATACATACTTTTGACGGCTCTCACGGTTCAACTAGTCCCGAGATCAGCCCGATCGGGTAGTTATTAGAACGGCTTACGGGATCTGGGACATGAGCTGATGTTTTGCCTCAGCTATGCTCATTGCTCACGTGTTACCAAAAATATCCCCGGATCATGTGGTCATTTTATTTGAGCGAAGGAAAAAAAGGAAAAAAGAAAAGAATCACGTGAAACGGGGTACAACATATGATGTTGTACGGGATGAGCGAAAAGTCCGAATTATCGGATCTGATAACAAAAAGTTCCCGCGTCATTCTCACATGTCAAATGTGTCAACATGTGAGAGTTTTTGTCTATTCATTGCGCCTGACCTTGGACACCCGCGGCAATCCTAGCCACGTAATCAGAATCGCACCGGATAGGGCAATGATAAATGGCTGCAGCACTTTCACTCCCTTGGCCTGTGCAAGCACACCAACAGCAAAGGGGAGAATTGCGGCCCCGCTACCTCCGAAGGCAGCGACAAATCCTATTGAGGTAACATGCAGATGCCGAGGAAGAAGCTTCGTAATCATTACCACTGCTCCGGGGAAAAGGGGCCCCAGAAAGAAGCCTTGCAAAGACACTGCCACGGCCGATGCATAAAACTGGGGCACAAGCCATAAAACCAAAGCAAACCCCATGGAGCAAACTATGTAAACCTGGTGGGAATCAGTCTCGTTATATCGCAAGACAGCGCGATGCTCACCGAAATTGCGACTTTCTCGCCGACCCGGGGCGTCACAAACCCCAAAATTACTCGCCCAATCGTGATACCCAACCAGAACCCAGTGGCTGTCATACCGCTAGCAAAAGCGCTACCTTGCCGGACTCGAATCATAAAAGTAACAATCCACCCTCCCAGCGCGACCTCTACTCCAACATATCCCAGCAAGAACAATGCACAGAGCCAAGTCACCCGGGCAGCTGGGCGCTTGAAGATTGCATCCCTCAAGCCACCCTTTTTGGTCTCGTCCGCTGATGGTACATTCAATGCACGGTAATCGGCGGCAGTTGATTTCCAGAAGCATGCGCCAGAAACCACCAGTTCAATGGCCGCACATCCGATCTAATTGATTAAACAGTGATCAAATAGCTGCGAGGAACATTCAGCACTTACCATGACATAATAAAAGTAATACCACGGCAGACCACCCTTGGCAATCATTGACGTTGCGACCAACGGCCCCAGAACTGCACCGGCTCCATAGATCCCATGTAACACCCCCAACACCTCATTTGCATTGGCCATGTTACCAATCCACGCATTCCACGCAGAATCCTCTAGGCCATTTCCCAACCCCGCAAAGACGAATGCGACCACTATTACCGGATAAGGTGGATGAACGCAGTTAATAATATAGGCAATGAGATGAGATGCTGGTCCGATAATGGCCACACCGCGTTGACCTAGCATATAGTGGATGCGGTGATTGAGAAAAGCGGCGGCCGTATAGCCTACTAGAGGTGACAAGAAAATGAGAGACACAATCGTGTACGATAGATGGTAGTATGATTCCAGCTGTATGCCAGATGAGACAGATTATAGTTAATTGTAGGGCATTCAACTTACGTATGGGATTAGAGCCTGCGAATGGTTAGTAGATATCTCACCATATTGGGATCATACTGTCTCCTTTCGGGCAATATCAACTTACACCATATGCTGCGTCATTCGCACCCATGACGAGGAATGACCAGAAAGTCGCAAAGGTTCGATGAATATTGACGCGAGGCTGGTTCCATTTCTCTAACAACGGAAATTCAAGGCCCACGGGTGAACCTGTATCTGACTGGCCATGAGGCAAAGCCTCAAGAGCGATAAGGCTCGCATCTCGCGATTTTTGAATCATACAGTCAGTTGCCATCGCGCGCGATTCAGTTCTGTGAAATTTTTTGGGCAAGCAGAACAAAAAAGCAGCCATAAAAGTCCGCAAAAAGCCTTGGCGCGGTG